GTTCCCCTTGACCAGGAGTTGGGAAGCAAGTGACCTTAGAATGTTATTACTGGAAGTCCGAAAACATCAGACTTCCTGAAGAGAGAACACACTGTGAGAGCAATGCACCTTGCTCAAGAACAGACCATAATGATCCAGGAAGTGACTTATCCTCAGGTCCAGTCACTGAGCCTTCCCTAGATGGGGACTTAATTGTCACTCTCACAGAAACAAAAAGACTGATGAAACAATGATAAAAAACAACTTTGCATCGAATATTTTACAAGTTTAGGAAAGAATCAAAAAAATTTGGACCAACAGGCAAAAGCTCAAAACGTCAACAAAATTTCCAAATTTGACACAGTTGGAATGCTGAATATTAGATTTTCTGATTTTTATTTCAGGATTGCACAACATGGATATTCTACAGGGAACAAAAAGTAATATTTCTTACTTGTTGTGAAATGTGATTACAGCAGACACAGCCCTTGCAAAAATTCTGAACGAAACCAGCATGCACTTGGTGTCAAGCCAGTTTCTGAAGCTAAATATCAAACATGATAAAGAATCATTAATCTTTTGTATCTAAAACTAAATATCTTTTTAAACACAATTACCCCACTTCAGTTCCAAGAATGTGATGAGAATTAGCTGTTGCAAGTAATACAGGTCAGTTTCAAGACAGCACAAAAACATTTATAATATCACCATGACATTGTTACAAACTGGTTTCTGTATCACAAAAAAAAAACAACAACTGATAGAGACAGATTACATTGTAGGCTAAAAATTGCAATTACATCAAGACATTAGCAGGCAAAATAATTACAACTTGGCATTCTAATGCAAAATACAAGAATTCAAGTTACCGGGACTTTGGAAGCCATCCAATGAAGATTCGTGATGAGATCAACAGTGACATGCTAAGTAGAAATAGGATAAACCTAACAGGAGAGAAAAACTAACTATCAATACAGAGGGCTCCTTTTTAAGGGAAACACAAATTAGTTGGCAAAAATGGGAGTTTAAAGTCTAGGGGGGTAAAATTACTTACAGTGAAACAGATGACTAATTTTTCTGTACCTTGATATTGGACACATGTGTACAATATATTTGTTACCATTACATCAATGTAATAAATAAATGATAATTTCATTATTCATGGCCAGGTCATATCTGTTTTACACTTGGTAACCCAGAGATGTGACTAGACAATGGTGGACACCTAGCCAGAGGAACGCTTCAGAGGTCTTTCCTGTAAGGTGTGTACTGACATTCTCCTATCAATTTGGAATGTGAGTGCAATGCGTGCAGGCCACAAATTGACAGGAAAAGAATGACAATCCATATCTTACTGAACTGTGACCATGAAACAAGTTAGTGAGAAATTATTAATTTTGTGTAGCTAGCTCTTGCTCTATAGAAAGAAAAACACTCAATTTCGTGGCAAGTGGGATATGTACTGTAGAATACAATCCATCCAGTTGACCAATGATACAATGTAAAAAAAAAAAACTGCATATGGGCCAAGTGACCAGTCAGGCTGGAGCTTATCCCGGTTTCCATAGCATGAAGCAACTAGGAGTATTTTTCCTCCCCCCTAGATGGGATGCTAGTCCATCGCATGGTCACCCATACCATTAAATTTGCCGGTAACCATTTATACACCTCGGTGGAGAAAGGCACTGTGAAAGTAAAGTGTCTTGCCCAAGAACACAACACAAGGTCCCTGACCAGGGCTTGAGCCTGGACCGCTCAATCCAGAGATAAGCACGCCATCCATGAGACTACCGCACCTCCCAATGTAGTGCAAATATAATCCGAGAGATATAAATTACCACCCAAGATTTCCTCTTCTTATTCCTACCAACTTAAATATCCAAGATGACTCAACTTTAACCATAACCCCTTATTTCCTGACAGGAATTTGAGCAAGGTGCAAACTGACTTTCAGGTCAGTATGGGACAGAATGTTCCTGCTCTATCTCTGCAATCAACTCACTCTTTGTCTAAGCTTACCTCATGGGAAACAATATGACATATCTTATAAAACAGCCTGTTATCCACATTATTGTCAGCTTGACACTGCAAACAAAGCAAACACGTGTCAACCAAGATAAATGTAAATGCTAACAATATTAATTCCTATAATTTGATGCCACATATTACTTTCAAAGTTAGTTTGGTGAATTTGGTTGAAGACCATGGTCTCATAAAGTACATTTGAATAGTTCGCTTAGAGATTTCAATGACAAAGCAATACATGTAATTGCTGTCATTTTGAGAATCATCCACTGCTTGCAGCTTCAATGTAGCAGGGTCCTCTCAAAAGTTCACAGCAGATCAGGTTGTCTTGAAGTACATGTAGGCGGCACTGAGCACTTTCAAAGACTGGAGCAAAAAAGAGAGGCTTATCATTTGGGTTGTTTTTAGACACATATTAAACATTTATTAATGTGAAAGTCGCCAGTGCTTATAGAGAATACTGAAGCAGCATTCTGTTTAATATTTAACATAACTGTATCAGTACCACTTAAAAATACTACAAGAAGATAGTCTGGAAAACAGTAAATACCTGATATAGTGGTAGTTCTCATTTGTCCTGGTTAGAAGATTCCAAGATTCCAACTCTACAAATTGAAAGTTTTCAAACTTAAGATTAAATTAAATAATCTGGTAGTAACAATTTTTTTTCAGTTTACCTCTGTACAGTTGATCTGATAATGTACCGTTTTAAAATGCTATGTACAGAGAAGATCTATACAAACTTGTAATTATTAAGTAAAGGCAATGTAGTGAACTCTTTCTGATGCACATATTGCTAGGACCAGCTCAAGCTGTCTGCTTTACAGAACCAGCCAGCTAACTTACCTAGGGAAGAGTTTCCCATTCAGTAGCATCTGTTTTGAGAAAGTTTACTGTAACTGACTGTTATCATAGGAAGCTTCACCAAACTACAAGTTGTGTAACACATTTGCAGCCCTCTTGAGCACTTGGTCTTCTTTAACCATGATATTTGGAAAAGTTTTGACAATGTTACTGCTTGTTTTAGAGCATTTAGTAAGGCCTATTTGGAATAAAAGTACACTAAAAAGGTTTATCATGGCGTCCTTTCAAAAGTGGTCTATATCTTCTGATACTGGCTAGCTCAGCTCTATAGGACTTATCAGAGCTAACTTAAATATACTAGTATGCATCCCCAAATGTAGCATTTATTGCTTATTAGAAGCTGCAGGTAAGATTGTGTATACCTTCTGCAGAGAAGCATTTTGTTACTTCATCATCTATGATTGCCTGCAAATAGACGAAAGGTGTAAATCAACAACATTACTAATTGTCAGTTCCAAGCCCTTATATGTATCTCTTCCTAAGTCAGATAAGATGCTTCTTAGAATATGATACCCTGGACATCAAGCAAACACCCTTAAATTCCTGAATTTCTTTATCTCATTCTCTGTTAATCTAATTACCACATTTTTAAAGACAAAATAGATGTTGACTTCTCTTTGCTATGTGTAGATCAGACCTGCAAGCTACCATGAGCCTCACGATGTTTTTGGCCTTCTATTCACAGTCTCGTGGCAAATGTCCAGTGTATTTTTTTTGGCAAATGTCCTGCATTCCATGGTTTAGAAAACACCAAAGACAAACTGAAAACAGTGAGACTGAATCCAATACTAGCTGTGAAAATTAGGCCACGATTCATTTGCAGTTTCTGGCATGGTTCAGGTAGTTTGTCTTAAACTACATGTATACATTCTTTTCATAACATAAAGAATTGAACACACTATATAAAACTTGGAAAAAATAGCATATTAAGAGAAAGTGGTTCTATCATATGAAATTCTACCCCAAAATCCATCATTTGCTACATCCCATCAGTTTTTAGGAGGAAAACTTAAACTTTCCTCTAGAACATTGGACCAAACACAATGTGAGAGTGAGGGAGTTTAATTATGCAGATTGGCAATTTCTTTTATTTTGTGAGAGCTAAATTTTAGTGATGGTGGAAGACTGGTTTTTCAAGCTGGGTATTCAATCAAATTTTGCGATTTTCATTTTTCCCCTGTTAAAGTAAGAAAGTCACGTTTATTTGAAATACAACATTTTCAGCACTTTTATTACACTACACGGCAATCAGTCACTCCTGCCATCACAACCATGTTTCACCCTGGTGTGGCTGATAGTACCTTCACACAATCCTTTTCCGTAAACATTTTTGAAGCTACACCTGTAGTCCACCATGGGCAATATCATCATTTTATTTAAAGAGACATTCTAATTCAATTTAAATCGCAAAAATAAGAACCCGCAAACATTTTATGCCACATGATATGTATATATACAGAGTGTGTAGTCACCAACTAATTGTTTTACCTACCTCAACCCCAGTAACACAGAACTGAATAGTGTCACCCATGTGGAATTCTCGCTGGAAGGTTCCAAATGACCTGTTTCTGGGTATGTCAGCTTTTTTCAGCTTTGACAATGTTTTGTCTATAACTGAAACAAAATGAGTTTATTCCATATATATGTGTATCCAGCTATGCTAATATTATCAAAATCTGACTTCGTTTAATATATGTATTGCTCAGGGCTACAAGCACATGTATATAGAGCAAGGGACAATCACATCTTATTTATTTATTTAATCTCATCTTATTTGTTTAATTTACATCCCTACTCCAGTGGAGCCAACACAGACAGACCTTTGCAGATCATAAATCATACAACACATCTAGTATGAAAGCCATTTTGGTCAGTCTGCAGCAAATGGCAATTAGGCATGCACTAAGTTTGTTTTTAAGAACAAAATCTAGACCGCTTTCAATATCGATTTCAGCCAATCAAATTTGTTAATTTGGTAGTTCCCAGTCCTTGTGAGACAGAGCCATATAATAAAAGCTTATAATAAGCTTACTAACGATACTTCACCATTTGATTTGACTCCATGTTTCTGATGTTTGGACTGAATAGTTTTCCTTCCGAACTATGAAGAAAACAGCAAACAAGTCAAATGTTTAAATCTTATATTGTTTTGACGCATTAGAAACTGAGCAGCACGCAGAGTTCCAGCAGAGAAACCAGTTAAAATAATTTGAAAACAAAAAAAAAAAACAGCTTTAAATAGACAATTTGGATATGATACTGACTAAAATTCATTTGCGGCAATCGAAACATTCTAGTCTTAAGATGAGACAGATCTTCGATCCCAGATTCAGATTAAGTTAATCTAATGGACAAATTAGTGACACGATGTAAAAGGAAAACTTTCTGACGGCCGGACACGGAGTCAATACACCATCCGGCTGTCGGACATTTACAGTGTAGATCGTAGACACAGTGAATGTAAAGTTCATCAACAAATTATTTTCAAGGAGATCACCGAGGCCTACCTCAAAGACTTTATATAAAGTGGCTAGATATAGATTCCGAATTCCAAAAGAAAACCCCAAAGACGCAGGAATCGCCATGAAGAGCACTATGAAAGCTAAATAGCACGCTAAAAAGATCAACCACACGGGCGCCATCTTGAATTTTCTACACTGTTGATTGAATAACCGCTGACAAGATACCTGTTCGGTGTTCGATTACCCATAACTCCACTGGCAAGCAGTATCGCATGATTGTCACCTTGTAGTCACGTTCTACGATTCCTCTATATTTCAGTTTCTTTATTTAATCATTTTTTAATGAACTTAGAATCGGAGATTACTTTGTATGGGCTTGTTGTCATCTTATGACTTCTAGGTCTCACAGGCAGCAATTGCTTTGTTCATATAGTTTGCTTTTCTTTTCTCATCTTTCGTTTGTTTTGTAACAATCGATGGGCTCCTGAGAATGTATATTTTGAATGCTCTGGCTAAATATCCTTACCTCTGTCCTACTGTCAGGAACTTGAAGGTGAAAATGTGATGTGGACAAGCGAATCTTAATCATGACTTGTCCGAGGGAACAATTATATTATTTCTGGTTCACGAGCAAACACTAAGATACCGTGAAAACAGACTCAAAACATGACCCACATACAAATTTATCGAGTTACAACGAAGGAAGGTTTTTACTTGCCAGAGAAAATTTTAACAGCTGGACAGGTTTGACCATTTTGCAGACATGTTTTGTTTCCACGCGAAATTGCTCGTTGAGTGGAACCTCGTTCATCCGGTCACCAACGGGCAACAAAAATCTGGCCGTAATAACGGGGTGGCCATATTAAAGTGGTCCTGTAAATAAGAAAATGACTGATTGAGCGTTTCTTTGAGCCAGAATAAAGTGGCCTATATAACAAGGTGACTGTATTAAACGTTTTGAAAACGTACTTGTTTAAAAACTTAAGACAACCAAGTTTAGTTTCAGACAGTTATCCGAATTACAAATACTTTTTTCCTCTTTCTATAATTCATACTTAATCTGCGTTTTTCGAGGCTGCAGACGAGAGAAAAAAAAAGAATGCCTGACGATCGGTAAAATTACCAGAAATGCGCCCTTTTTATTGTTCAGTCTTACATGACAACGAGCAGCCGCTTTCGATTTTCTAGGTCTGTCAGGAGTGGCGTAAAAGAAAAAATGGAGGAGCGCACTCGACGGGTTAAAAAAAAGAAGGGCTGCTTGTAGTTTAAACGGATTTGATCTTAATTTTCAGCCGGAAAAGACAAGTTCTTCCAGAAATGATTATGTGTATCAGCAGTGTGACTGCATGCAATTTGTCAGTCATGTTTACTTTATTTTATGCTCAGTCGAATCACCATGCCGCGATCACACAATTATCGAGAGGTTAAATTTGCTTATTACTTAACTGTTCATTTTAGCACGTCTTGTGTTAGTCTCGCGATCTTTCGGAGTTCAAGGTTAGCATGCCTACACGTATCTTGTCAGGGTTCTTAGTTTCCTTACTCGTTTTGCCTAGGACGTTTCGTGCCCGAAGGGTACTCCGTTATATATATGGGCTTTTTAGGTATGTGCTACCCCAAAGGGTATGGGTTTTTAGTCGCTTTGGTCAGCAATAGGGAAATGATTTTGGTCAGGTCTTAAACAGGGTAGGGAAAATCACAAATTTTGGTCTTAAATAGGGTAAGCTGTTTTGGGAAGTGGGCGCACACCCCCACCAATTCTTAGAGTAACCACCACCCAACACTTCCCCCCCCCACCCCACCCCCGGGAGCTGGTGGTCATGTTTGAGTTTGTCTACTTACCTGGTTTAGTCCTCTACTGAAGTTCGTGTTTTGGCGTAAGTTCTGTAAGGCTGGGTTTTCTACTCGTTGTATTAAGTGCTTTGCTATTCATTTGCGGGAGTCGCATGAGCGTGTTTGAGTTATAGCGTCCTGTAAAGGTCAGTCGTCCAGTGCATATGCCCACACATGCCTACTGATAGAGCGTTGCTTCTCCATTTGTCAGTCAAGTAGTATAGTATAAAGAAATTTCCACCCAAGTCACAATAAGTCGGAATCAGCCAATAAAGATTAGATTCCAGTCACCTCCCGCAACTTGTTGCCGAGCACCCCAATACCACTGATGATCGCTAAAAGTAATGAAGATTTTAAATGCTCCGGACGCTCGTAATTTCGCTTCATGCCTACTTCCTGCCTCGGAAAAATTTGAAAACGGAGGTTTCACTCTGAAAACGCATCAAATGCTCTCCGTCCACACTACGATGGAGGAACAGTTTAAAAACGCAACAATCACCGTTTGAGGAAAACTCGGCCAGAGAAATCACATGATTATCGCGACGCGGCGGCCTCATGGTTAGTGCGCTCGTCTCCGGATCGAGCGGTCCGGGTTCGAGCCCTGGCCGGGGNTGGCTCGCATGCAGACTTTACCTTTTATCGCGAAGCCATCGTTTACCAAAAGCTCCGTTTTCAAAATGTTTATTGTCCATGCCAAAAAGCAAAGCCGGCGTTGTCAAATTCCTCCGGTTTGAAAAGCCCTTTCGAAAAGCTCCGTTTTCGTGACGGATTAAGTGTGGACGGTAGACCTAACCATAGAAATAAAGCTGCGCTTTCTCCGGTGTACTGTGGACACTTCGGCTTTGTGCTTGTTCCGAGACTCTCGGAAGCCTCAGTGTTGTAGGGAGTAGGAGTGAGGACGAGTTTTCAACTCCAATATGGCGGCCTGATGCTCGAACAAAACAATGGAAGCTCTTTCACCCCCAAAAGGCCTACACTGAACGATAGATAATGAAGGACGTTCTTTGTAATTATTCATTTAAAAAAAGCATAATAACTGACTGTTTCCTTATTTTATCTTTTCTTTCATCCCAATATACTAGACTAACGATGTAACAAAAAACTGAGGCCTTACGTAAAAAACAAACAACAAACAAACAAACAGAAAGAAAGGGTTCGCACATTTGCTCTTCCCAGGTACTAAAGTATTTGAGTCATTCTCACCTACACTCCATTCTTATATAAGAATATTGTTTTTCTGGCCCAGGCTGAATATTCTGATTTTCCTGCCGATTTCAATTTCGGCTGAAAATATTCTTGTGAATATTCTTATATTACATAAAGGAATACGAGGTGGACTATGCCGATAAATGTCAGATTATCTGTCCTATCAGGACTTTGATGGCGTTGAGGCAATTATGGAGCCAGACTACAGGCATTTAAGTCTGAAATGACACACATAAATTAATGTTTTTAGCATCGAACATACGGCTAGTGCTGAGTTTGTTGTTTTTTGACTAGTTTCGTCTTTTAGAGAAAGGAAGAATTTTATAAGGCTTAGTTCAAAACATATAATTGTATTGTATTTACAAACTTTCAACACGCAAATTATATTCTTTTCAAAATCTCGGCCTCGGGGTTATTCTTAAAATATTCTGAAATTTTCGAAAAATTTAGCCTCGATATTCTTGTAAAATAAGTTGTTATAAAAATGCGTGTATTTGGCAAATCGGTCCAGTTTTCCTCCATATTGTTGTGCGCCTGGGACATAACAGCTTATTGTCTGTATAGTATGGTACTTGTCGTGCGAACGATGCAGACACTGCCCATGAAAAGAATTTTCACCCGTGGTGCTGTTTACGTATGTAGGGGCAATGCAGGAGAACATATTTTCACTTTACTTCCGTTAAATTCCGTGCTCAAGCTGTGACATTCTGGAATTAGCAACCATAATTGCCTTACCTGGAAATTCTTTAAACCATCGTCTGTCTCCTTGTTTTGAAAGATAAGGTGGTACAGATTATATTGGGCGATAGTGATAATTGAATAAGTCAGATCAAAATGCAAGGAATGTGTGATATACTGTACTTCTGAATGTACTGTGGCAAACGGTGAGTTCTCGATGGTCCTCGCTTGAAGTGAGATTTTTACAGACTTTTTTATTGGCAAAATTGCAACACAGAAAAAGCACCCAGAGAAAGTCTCTCCTAGGCAAAAGTTACTGGAGATATATTCTCCGGGAAAAAATTAAAAACTCAATTTTACTATTTTAATCTGGTTAGCATAAGAAGGCGCTAGGCTCGCGTGTTGGTTTTCAACAAACAAATTAAAGTAATTTATCAAACCTGCAGTTTGTAACCACACCCAAGTATTAAACGTTTGACAAATATCAGTCATTTAGAATTCTTCGCGGCATGGTTACCAGTGTGAAGTGTGCATCGCTGGGATGGCCCGAAATAGATCACCACCGTCTTATGACGTAATTGTGACGCAGTCTGTCTTCCTGAGCGGAAATTGGTTCCAAAAATTTTAATCAGCGGCAATCACGAAGATATTTCGGAAAATGTGTTTGATCACTGTTGATGCTATGCTGTGCATCTATTTTTAACAACCACTTTGTAATAAGTGAGTTTTCGTAAATCATTTTAGTGAACCAAAAAAAAGAAAATTCGTGTTTTCTCTTGTTGAAGCAAAAAGATTGCTACATGAGTTATTTTGACAACTTTTCTTCGCATATTCTATAGTTAAAAAACTAGAAATATTTGTTTCTTTCGCGTGTGGTGTACATACTAGTATGCTAGCTTTGAAAGCTCTGCTTTATTTACTTATTAATGTATTAGCACTTAGTTCGTTGCTTATTTGTTTACTTGTAAATTCAAAGGCAAGTTCTGCCTCAAATCGCGTGCCTTGCTCGAAAAAAAGTCTCTATTGACCTTACAATTATTTGTTCCGCGGGTTAGCGGACTGTCAGGCCACTTAGCCTTTTTTTTAAATTTTCGCTTAATATTAGTAAACAAAGTGCATAGATGTGTTTATATTTTGCAATCGAAATTATAAATAGATTTTTTCGGTTTTGTCACACTCTACCGATTCGACCGAAATTCTGTTGTGAGTTGTTGTTTGGTGCCTCTAAAAGATTACCCCAGTATTTCGGTGGTACTCATTCTTAAAATCTTCTCACTTGAGGGAGGCATTGAAGGCTCAAAAGTACAGAATTCTTCGAAAACAAAAGGCAGGTCGGACCGCGGTCAGCGCCCGATGCGACACCCGTTTGATCCATGACAAAATGTCACAAACTATTTTTTTCAATAGCTTTTCTAACGACTTTTTATGGCTATTGTAGAAGAGGATAAATTGTTCCCAATTCGGTAATCATGCTAGTATACGGCATCAAGTGTTTCTACTACAGTGCAGTCGAACCTCTCCACAACGGCTACCGTTGTGGAGAGGTGGCCGTTATAGAAAGATAGAGGTGTAATACGATACCTGTTTTTGTCGGGGTGTGCAACATTTTTAATTTTATTTGAAAAAAACATCTCATTTTGTGGCATATAAATACGTAACACAATCAAAATATATAAATAAAGCAGAAAACAAGCAGAAACAGAGACCACCTACGCGCGGTATATGGATCCAAGTTTCGTGACCTTTTACAACTAAAATGGTTTGGAAGTTAGACCGCGTTTTAGTGGCCGTTGCTTTTGTGAAGAAGTGGCTGTTGTAGAGAGGTTAAAATCAGAGTGACTGTATAGACCGTCCGCCGGGACATGTACAAACGAAAGTGGTCGATTTAGAGAAGTGGCCGTTAGTGGAGGTTCAACTGTATAGCAAATTCCAGTCAGACCGTGAAATGAACGACGAAGGAAAGTTCGATTTGTTATCAGAGAAAAGCTATCGAGTTGGTTGTTCACAAAGACATTTCTCTAAGTACATTTCCCGGTACAGTTGTACTAACCATCGTAAAAGAAAGCCACTGGCCTCCTGTTCTGTACCAGCTTCACTCTCCGATAGCCCCAAAAATCGGCGACTCCGGAAAGAATCCGAACTGTTTCATTCT